GCTGCATGCGGCAACCGTATCACTGCCGTAAATATCAACGTACGCACGGTGTCGACCTTTCTCCGCGGCTGCGTCAACTTCCCCCCACGGGCGCTGTGCGCGTAAAACGACAACGATAGCGCGCACCTCAAGCAGCTGGAAAACACGACTGGATCAAGCCGGTCTCCATGTGAACGCATAAAAACAAAACAAAAAACAAAAGTAACACATACAAACCTTAACCGTCTTCCGGTGAATAACGGACCAACACGTGTGGCCTTGTCATTCGAGGGAATAGAGAGACGGTCGTTAAATTCCGCCGCAATCAATACATACATTTAATTAGCGACGCGCTAATAAATCGGTTCGAATGGACTTGCACAGTGTTACTAACCCCGTCAAGAAAATCAGTTTTCGTGCTTTCCTATTTCACTGTGGAGGTTTACGAATGACGCAGTGTTATTGGACACCAGCCATTATTCGCGCACCTCTAAATTTTATACTCCGTTTCACCTGAAGTCAAAGCGCAACCAGCGGTACGAGTTGAAGAATCAATCAATCAGCGCCAAAATGGCCACATCCCAGCACTCGCCATTTTTTTTTTAATCTTTTTTTGTGCGTGTTGATTTGCTGGTTTATCCAATCAGGCACAGAGTGTGCCATTGTTTAGTATGTGTGCATGCGCCTGTTAGTTTCGTAGGCTTTGGCCGCGCTTGAACTTGGGTTCTTGATTTTAGAATCTTGAAAACGTAGCCTCGGCAGGGTAAAACACTAGCATGTTAGCGTTCACCTTATTAGAATAAAGCGAAGCTCGTCGCTAGGCTATGATTGGTGAGTCTCGACTCCAACAGAAAGTCAATTGACTTTCTGTTGAACTGAGTCTCGACTCCAACAGAAAGTCAATTTTACGCATATTTTACCTTCATAAGTTATTGAAAACTTAGGAGAAAAGATTAACTTACAGGACAGGAGAAAGGATTAACTTACAGCGCACATGCAACTCCCTCAACTATTTTTTTTTCTTTTTTTTACAAAAACGCAACGGGCAGGGATTTAAATCAGATGTAAAACCAAACATGTAGCAAAAAAAAAATGCGGTTGTTGTTTTAATTGGCGCATTTATCGTCCCGTTTCATGTATTTTTTTTTTTAACTTACCTACCTTTTGATTTTGAGATTTTTAAAAGCTGAAGTGAAAATCAAATAAAAAAAAAATCCTCTCTTATTACGCAGAATTGTGGAAAAGACACGGAATGCTTCGTGTGTTGCGTCGCGGTGATGCTGCACAGATTATCGTGGTACGCATTTCGTGCCGCGACCGCACAAACATTGTAGCGCGTATCCGTCTCTGAAAGAAAGCCCTACCAAAGCTATAGCGCTCGAGCCAGAGTAACATCTTTGCGTCTCTTGCTGTGGCACACTCCTGACCCTGCAGCTAGTCAATCACAAGGCAACGTTCATTTCACACCTTTAAGATTGACAATCTTGCCAGCAGCCTAATAATGCGGGCTCGTTCTGAGCATGTGCTCTGAACAGCGCACTCAAATATGGCGGCATTCAGTGAATGCCCATCTCACTGTCCTGTCATACCAAGAAAAAAAAAAATAACCCTGTACGTATTATTTCTGCGCTTCGCAAAGTAGTTTCTACAAGATTTGGTTGTCCAAAGAAGACACGAGGCCTTTGGTGTTTCCAACGTGTACGTGTTGATAAGATAACATAAATGCAATCAAAGACGCGAGACGTATGATCTGGATGTGTAAATTCTTCTTACATCCACGTAGTGCACCACTAAAAAGGCATACAGCTGCTTGTGGGCACCGAAAATAGAGTATTAATGTTATTATTTATATACTCACCTTAATTCAACACATGAAGAATGAAATTAGTGACAATCTGCGAAAAGCCAGGTTCTTTGTTTCTTTTTACTTCGTTTTTTTTGGAGTAAATGCGAGTATACATGACGAGGCCGTCGTGGTGCCGGATTTTTTACGTCACCAACTGGAGGCCAACGCGTGACACACTGGACACGAGTGCTGTGTCGGCGTTTGACCGGGACTTGAGTTTAATCAGTGAGGACGAGAAAAAACTAAATAAATTCAGATTGTCTATAAGGCATAAAGTGCGGAAACTAATGCGAGTTGCCGCCGATTACACACTAATTAAGGGAGGTGTCGCACCGTTATCTTTTTTTTTTTTTTGCCACTTTTTGAATTGTTTCCAAAGATTTTACCCTAATAAAACAAAAACAAAATTAAAGCACTATATATATATATGTGAACTTTCGTTGACGTTTTGTGAACACTACCATTCAAACAACACGAAAGCGGCGCGTTATTTTTCTTTTTTCTTTTATTGATGAAAATAGAAAACAAATACGCAATTTTAAACGTTTAAAGTGTGCTGCGACACAACTCTAGGCAGTGTAAGTTAAGATTTGCAAGCAAGGAAAGGAAAGAACTTTTGAGAGCGTGAGCTTTATTTACAAATGAAAATCTTCGTTTGTCGATATTTGTTAATGGTATTCATCGCGTAAGGTAATGGAATATTCTAAATTGGCGACAAGACTTTGTAGTTGCGTGAACATGTGACGATCGCGCGCAATACTACAACAAAACAACCCTGAGGCATAATTTGCTTGGGTGTGTTGCGCATTGCAGAAACACACCGTTTATTGTGTGACAGGCGTGGCATAAGTGTGTTCAGAAAAATAATCAACGAGATTTTTAAACAACATTGAAAAAAAAGGTTAGAGAAACACTGCAGCTCTGAAATGTATCTTTGTCATAAATGAACTACAAACAAAAGTGTAATACACACAAATTTATGTAATTTTTATTTAAGTTCACTTGCATTTACAATTCTACCTATAATAAATTATGCTTTAAATTATTATCAAAATGTAATTCACATACATCTCTCATGCATACTGCTTGGCGGTTGTGGCTATACAATCAGAACACACAAAATGATCAAAATGTAGTCCTAATGACACAATACCGGCAATAAATGAACACTGAAGTGATGATTCTACTAAAAAACACACACACACACACACGAAGCATGTTGTGTAAACACTGAAACGTGTGCAAACTGTACAATGACTGTTACGTCAGAGTTCATCCAAGCACAACAAAAATAGCTTTGATAATCAAAGGTGCGGTTTGTATTCTTTGGTGTTTTACTCAATTTTGCTCAAACAGGCAACCAACCACGCTGACGATTACGGAAGGTGATACGCACCTACAAGAGTTTAGCACAGGCAAAGGCAAGTATTATGTGAAATTCAAATTTTATTTTTGTAACATGAACCCTGCTTCATCATCCGGTCTTGATGTATTTATTGACTTTTTATCATCTCTCCTACAACACAAAATAGCGCAAGTAGAAGTAAAAATATGTAAAAAGGGTGCTTTAAACGAATTAAACGCGAGCTGTGCCGTGGTGGTTAGCAGCAGGTTTTTTTTTTTATTATTATTTTTTTTATCTTTCTTAAACAGGGGTAAGACGGTTACTAAAGTAACGGTCTGTAGAGGTATAATTGGACAATGTGGGAGTGTATAATGTTTTATACTCAAAACAAGTTGCTAATAAAGTCTCAACGAATGCATCAGCCAACGGGAATCTAGCTGCCTCTTTCACTTTAGCAACGTTCCAGAATGTCGCTTTTCTTTAAATAACTAATTGTTGAAATGCACAGAATATTCTGTGAAGTCGCTGGAAACACAGAAAACACGTGGTAGTCCTATTTTAAAGCGCCTCACCGCGTAATTTGGTATCTGATACAATGATATGATGTGGTATGAGATGATGTGAAATGGTGTGCCGTGGTTTGATTGGATGTAGTGTAGTGTGCTGTTTTGTGTTGTGGTATGATGTGGTATCATGATGTCAATTTGATAACTGTGTGTACGGTGTCAAACACTTCCTTTCCTTTGTGGCAGTGATAACAGCCGACTCGCGCGAAAAACTTTGTAACTGCATGACTAGAGTATTGCATCCCTTGTCGGCCATGTTTGTACTTTGACGTATTAACGGAAGCTAACGCTCTACTTACAGACACACACAGTTATTTTCATACACACACACAGACTCGGAAACACACAGTTGACCGATGAAATAAAATATTGGATGCAGAGACGCTAAAATGAATAGGAATGTCTTTAGAACGAAATACTTAGCTTTTGACATTCTTTCCTACGCTTCTTGCTCCTTACCTCTTACTTAACTCTGTTTGTGATTTCCAGCAACGCAGTTGCCACCTTACAGATTGGAAGCCCACCACTAACTCACTACCGTAGATACTAAATGTCGCATTATTTGCGAGGCTGCCGCCGGCTCAGTAGTAATGCAATTACTCCTAAATAAGCTACAGACACTGCGAACATGACAAGAAAAAGGGACGCCAATGCGCCCAAAAATCGTGACCTGCGTGAAGCACTCCTCGTCCTTGACCTAATTGTGTTCGTTATTTTGCATTCGAGGCCCTTCTTAAGGCTGGCCCACGTAGGTATTTGCATTTGGGTGTGGTCGACTGCGTTGTAACCGCTTGTCACTGCTTAGCACGAAAGGACACGATGGCACACTGGAGCCATCTATCAACTAATCTTGAAAACATTTTCGGTCTGAAAGTTTTACAGTAGTCGCGATTTCCGGTGCGACCTGATAGATGGCACAGGTGTGACATTGTTTCCCTCGTCGTAAGTGGTTAAAAGAAAACGCAAAGCACTCAAGCACACTGAAATGCAAATCTGTAAACCAGTTTTTACAAGTATAATGTCCTAGGGAGCCTTCATGAAGGCACATGAAGGCACCCTATAATGTCCTAGGTCATGCTAAGACTAGTGCAACGTCCTGTTTTCTGGCAGTAGACAAGGAGGGCTTATCGGCTGAGCCGGAGCACCCATCTTCTCGACGATCACAAAACAGCAGCTCTACAGAGCGCTTTCGTAAGCAGCAAATTGACTGGTAAGTGCGCCCGTTTTACGTCATTTTGTACTCTGGGATACCGAAACCTTTCTGCTATAAATGAATGAAGTAGTCATCGGTTGTTCGCTTCCTTTGATAGCCGAGACCCTGAATTCCGTGGAACTCCGGAGTTGGGAAGAGTTGATCGGTGAGCCTGTGAATCACGCTCACGTTGGGACCAAACAGGTCAGGATCCTTCTTGACGGTGACGTCGTTGTCAAGTTTTCCGTTCGATATGGCAGGGACACTACTTGGGGTAGGTTCCACCTAAAAAAAATAAAAAATAAATAAAATGATGTGCGATTTTTTGAGAGAAGCAAACAAGATATCGAGAATTCAATTTTCCTTCAACTTCTCCGCTACAGTTTGTTTGGGAAGGCGTGCGGAATTGCGAGCTAAAAGGCATAGATAGTGTCTATAGTCAATGACAGAGCTGGAACGACAGGAATGGTTTTCAGTTGTTTTTTTTTCCTCTATCAAGAACTTATCGAGTGCCTATTTTCTGGCGTGGCACGTTCTTCCAGCATCCCAGGGACGTCAAGAGGCTATTCACAAAAACAGTGCTCGTGATGGAGTTAGAAGAGCTAAAAAGCTCCTCTTTGACGTTCCAGTACTATGAGTGACTACACAATGTCCGTGGACACAAAATTGATAGGTATATGAAGGAACAAGAAGGGATACTGGATTAATATAAAAAAAAGGAATTGAGGCTGAGCGTTAACTGTAGTATTCTGCCAAGGGCAATAAAGCGAGATATGAGGAGAACACAAAACGAAGTAGGAAAGAGTAAAAAAATATATATATAATAAAATGAACGAAAAGTAAGACATGTTGTCAAAGGGAGAGTTAAAGACTATTTTTATGGGAGGAAATTATCAAGCTAGAACTGATAACTGAATGATCAGAGAGAACAAGCATACTAGTATCGCACTAATAGATTGATAAAACATAAAGAAATATGCAAGTTTAAATCTAGGGGATTGTGGTAACTTTAATGTAAATAAGTAAAAGACAACTGTAAAAATAAAGACTGCACAAAAACAGGCTTTACAGTCATTCAGTGCGAAAACTCTGACAGGAGTAAGGAAAAACAAGCTCACGTATTCTCTTCCAACGTTGAACCGGAATGGCCGCCTCCACCTCTCCGGCAGATACCAAAACAGGATATCGACGAAGAAACAGATTAGCTTCGGATTAAGAGTTTCAGGTCTGGTTGGTGCTGCGAAAAAGAAAAAATTGTTGATCTGAGTTGGCTTCATGATACCCCTGAGCAACCATCACAGGCAAGGTCCAGAAAGAGCAAATTCCTGATCATGTTTCAAATTGAGTACGAACTAAGTTGCGTCCAGACCTACAAGTAATCAAGTTATCAAACTACTTGTAGCCAATTTTTTGTTGGTAATTTTGTAATATTTTGCTTCCTCATATAAAAAGAAATTAATTGAAAACAAAATAGGCATGACCTACCGCCTTTATCTAAACACCCCCCCCCCCCCCCCTTTTTTGCGTTATATCTTTCTAAAATAATTCAATTTAGTGGTTTTCTATGATGCTTAGCGAGTTTTTCATTGGAACCATGTGTTTATTTTTACTAATTAAAGCGGTAATAATTAAATTGAGTTAATTTTTTTGCTAATTAGTATGTTCCTTGTTGTCTTTGACGTCCGTCGTGGCTGGCAGTTTGTTCCCGAAAAGAATTACTTTCTTCTTAACCACCCTATTTTTAGGGATTTTTTAAAGCCTTCGCTGAGACACCCGGTACATTCATGACACATTGTTCGAGACCGTAACGAACTTTTTGGGTTATTTAATAAAATTTTTATTATTCTGTTTTTTATTCCTCAAAGTTTACAACGTATATATTATACAAACAATAGTTCCTCGTCTTTATGCAGGCTCCTAAATGATTTAGTGACCTTCGATGTATTCTCAAGATCTGAGGACATTGTATACATGACAAAACGTGTGTCGCATGCTGATTAAAATCGCGTTTACACGGGCCCCGTGGCACAAGACGAGTAACATATAGGCGTCTAGCTCTTATATATTCGATATAATTAAAAATATATTACCGATTTTATGCTAGTTCATTACGACAGTGAACAGGAATATGCATAAGATTGAATAATGCCAAGCACTGGTTCGTGGACGTTTCGTAAATAACAAGAAAGCCCTTTGGTTTGAGGTGAACGTCTAACTGTGGCAAAAGGTCTTACTTGTCAAGAAGCTGACGGGAATCCCAACAACGAAGGCAACGAGGAAGGCCAATAACGTTTGCCAGAGGTACGACAGCTCATAGACCCTGAGCGGCTCGTCACCAATTCTGCAAGTAAAAAAAAACAAAAAACATTTATGGTAATAGCGTCCACCTTCCCGAGCAAAGAAGCTGACGCAGAGTAGAGATGCACAGAAACACGTGCGCATGTCGTTAGGCATGCCAATATTTGTCATTTCTCCTGTAGTTCGCTATTACGGTTTGAGGAGCTCGGTTCGGCAAAGTTCTTTCGGAAAGTGGCACTGAGCTCAAAGATAACAGTACGAGTGTCAGACATATTTATATAGGTGGCACTTGCCACAACTCCCCCCCCCCCCCCCCCCCCTCGAAGACTTGCACGTGTTTAACTCGAAATACCGTTTTTTTTGTTGTTTTTTTCAGCAGTATGTTAGAACCGAATACTCCAAGAATGCACCTTACCTTAAGCATAAAGGCCTCTATACACGATACCGTTTGACTACGTTGGACTATACGTTGCGAGATCTCGGGTCCTAAAATTATAGAGACCTGCCACTGCAATCAAGCGGCTCAACGTCCGGTCTCCACGGCAACTGCAGCGGTCGTATCTCGAAGTTCCTTCGCAGTTGTTAAGCTTGTAAAACGTTACTGTGACTGCACCTTACCTAGTACATTCTAGAAAAGAACATTACGATCTCGCTATTTATAGCCGCTGACGGCTTAAAACGCCGGGCGCGAGGAGTCATCTTGCTATCGCTTTGCGTCCAATAAGATTGAAATATTAGCCGATATGAAAGCTGAAGAACAAATCACGGAGTACGAAGAGTCACCATAATATACCGCGCAGTGCGTTTCTTAAAATGTCCGTAACTATTGAAGGCGTTGTCCCGACTCGGCAAAGTACGTAAGTTATTCACTAATGTTAATTAAGATCCAAGAGCTTAGCACCAATCTACGCGCTGCTTTTTGAAGGACGGAGGATCAGTCTTGAGAGAACGTACGGCCAAGGTCGGAGGTCCTTGACGGGGGGCATGTAGGTGGAGGTATTGGTGACATTCATGTACAAGCTCATGCAGCCGTCCATCGAGACCGGTGGAGAGGGGTACGGAACGGCGGCCGTCATGGAGCCGATGCTGATCCAGAGAGTGATGGCAAGCGACGACAGCACGCCAAGCAGCGCTCCCTGGACGGCAGAAAACAAGATCGGTAAGGCCGGAATTGAACTGCCGGCGTGCGATCGGATGATCCAATCATTGTAGCCACTAACAAATTAAAAAACGGACACTCTAAAAAAATTCCGTGAATTTGCTTTTTTGCAGGACACGTAGACAGCCGGTCACAGGGAGCAGTAGATCCCAGCAAATGACGAAGCTCAAAATACGATAAAAGCTGACAAATGTGCAGAGACAATGAGCATGACGTTTTACTCGCTCGTAATCTCTGCGCCCATTGTATTTTTTTTTTTTTTTTAGATAATCATAATCATATCTTGAGCTTCGTCACCTGCTGGGGACCTTCTGCTGTACGTAGTGACTCGCTGTCTTCGTGTCCCGCAGAAAACCCAATTCACATACCTTTTTTAGACGGCGGGGCATAATGAGTTCTGAAACTCTTATTATCGCTTCGTAGAGCATGAAATTGTGAGATTAGCCGATAAGAAGATCGAAGCTCGAATCAGAAAGCGCTTGAACTTAACGAACCCCGCCCTGCTTTTTTTTATGTTGTCGGTCACTATACCAACATTGACATCACCACGGGAGTGAAGCTTTTGGGGTAACATGTTCTTGATCTCGGAGAGCGCTGAAATTACATGAATCTACCCACCGTGAAACAACAGAACGTTTTTGATTTCTTGGATAGCGCCCCCCTTAATCACTTAGTGCGAAGTTTGCAGAGTGGTAGCGTGGGACGACATATCTACGAGGTCATGCATCGCAACGAACGTTGTGTGAGGCTTTACCTTTGAATTGACGTGCGGGATAAACATTCCCATTGTGAAAAGACCGAGAAGAGGACCGCCAATGCTGCTGTTGATGGCTGTTGTTGCCTGGAGACGAACGTAAAAACGCCATATTAACCACTCCTGGTCTGAACACGACGTGAAGTTGAATTGTAACTACTTTTCTAAATCGGAAAATGTAGTGAACTTTGATAGCTGAATTATAAGTATTCTGTTTAGGATCCTATATTCAACCGTAAACATACGCAAGTTGTTCAAACAAAATTATGAGAGCAAATTTATGAGCACTGAACTATATTGTGAAATATTGTTGCCATCTTGTATGTTTGTACTAACTATGACGTTGATTTTATTGCCGGGAGTGGTATCATAGCGATACCGTCCTGACTTCATGCGATAGAAAAAATCTATAAAAATAAAACGAATAAAAGTATGCAGTTTTTATGTCCTGTACCACCGTGGCGGATTGCACACATACAGGCACATACGCTATCCTTCTAAAATACCTCGTGTTTATTACGCCGGTAATAAATGAGCATTATAACCGTAATGTTTTAATTAATAATTATACTAAATACCCAGGAACTACTCTTAGAATGTATCAGAAAGACTATAAAGCCAAAAAAAATAATAACGTGTATGTAAAACTAGCAAAACTTTTTGATCAGAAGAGGCATCAACATTCATGTTTAATTATTGACCTGTTTTATTTATATAAACTCGGTCTAGCAGCTTTGTTTTTATTTTCTTGGATTCACTCATTTGCATAAATTCACAATATCAACCGTCAAAGTATGAGAAATAGAGTGTCTTGAATACTGTTTTTTCTTCTTACCTCAAGAACATTCCCTAGTTGTTGAGCCACGGCGACCAGTGCAATCGAGAGCATTCCAAAAAATACACCTAAAAATATATAAAGAAGAGGAACATGTAAATGTTCTACTAATGTGCGGAATCTGAACAAGGAACGAATAAAGAGTAGTCCGAAACTCCATCTCACCTAAACCAATCATTATTTTTGATCCCGTCTCTACGCTGATTCCTGGCTTGCAAACGGCGACAACATCAACGTAAAATACGGAGGCCAACGCGTTGACGCCTGAGGATACTGAACTGAAAAAGATAGGACGAAGAAAAGACAGTAAACTAAAAATGCTCACTTTTATGCAACTTTAGAAAGACTGCGCACAATTGTTGCACGCACCTCAATGACGCCATAAAAATTCCTGCCACGAAAACGCCAGGAACGCCGTTGATATGACCAAGAGCGTCCATCACAAAGTAAGGAAGCACCTGCAATTCGAACAGACAAATAAAAAATACGATAAGTATTTCGTCTGGGTTGTTAAAACCCGAAATAAATGTCTGCAACACAGGAAATTTATCTTTGTCGCATACACACTTTGCACCGCTTCGTTATAACTTGGCAAAGGGCGACAGCTATGTCCCTTGTTAGCCATGCAGCGAAAGAGGGAAGCTCTCCACGGTAAACGCCTATAGGACGTTGTCGCGTGCTTTGCTCCAACACCGTGATTGGCTGGCTGGGGCCATAACTTTTTGTCATTTTCCAAGTCACGCTGAAGCGGTGCGAAGTTTGTATCGTACGAAAGGGTTTCTAACACTGCGTTGTGTATACACACAAGCATTTGCCTTCCGCGTGTTCAACAAAAAAGGTGTGGAGAAAGAAACCATTGAGATTTAAGACAAACGTATAAAATGCTTGGATGTTGCTGTCCTGATGAACGATTATGAAATGTACTTCTGTTTTGGCATATTGTCCAGAAATAAAAGCACGATATACAACCACGTCGCTTTTCTCAAAATTAGTCTTTCCACGCAACTACTGTGAAAACAAAAGTGTTTTGGGAGAAAGTTCATTTTGTGATATACCTGTTCTATACAGGTGCCTTAAAAATACCCTTTTGTTTTATATGGGGCGAGGGAGTTTAGTGTTTTTGTACGCATCGTGCACAAAGTAGCATTAGCTAACGCGCATCAGGTACATGACTTTACCTGGTCAGAAGTGTCGATTCGTTTGGCTAGGAGGGGATCACAGGTGGCGTATTTTGCGTAAACCATGATCCCAGCCAGACAACTCAAAAGCAGGATGAGGCACAGGTAGGGCAGGTTCAGGTAAACGACACTGTGCGAACGAAGGAAACGAAATTGAGCGAACTTGTTTTGTGGTCCCTGGAACGTTTACTTGATTAAAACGAGCGCTGTCAGGGAACCAGTTTTTTTTTTTTTTATTGAAAATATTGATTTTTAATAATATGAAAATCTAGCTTAAAAAGCGGTCTAATAAATGTTAGTTTATTAACATTAACATTAAGACAAACAGAAAGTCTGATATGCAGCAAGATTATCTTATGTACTAATTTAAGAATAGGAGAGTAATTTTAGACACAAAAAGCAATCAAAAGTAGAGCAAATAAATATTATTTTAGTCTTACTCGTCAGAAAAATGCTATTCAGTAAGCTAATGGCACCTGAGATGAAAAAATGGGATGATCTTAATAGGTCCCCAATAAAGACTCATTGTAATTTTAATGTACTGTAATAACACACTGCTGTATCGGGTGCTTGACCGTTCCAAGATTAGAGCGGTGAGAATTTTAACCTCTTTTAGTCGTATTTCAAAATCCGTTTCGTTATTCATTGAGTCAATAAGCTGAAATCTTTCTCTAATTTCTGAGGCACCAAACTATTAATACAGTGTGTACCTAAGTAGCCAAAACGTAAGATTGAAAAGAAAAAACAACCTTTAAATAATTTTCGTGTGTTTCCATATTAAAGTTTACAACTCGTTTCCTAAAAGTGAACACGATAATAACAAAAAGAAAACTTACATCTTTGCTCTTTTAACGGTCTTGACGGTCAAGTAGCGCAAGACCATCATTTGGTTGGTGGCGTAGCTCGCAGTTGCCGTAAAACAACCGCCAATGGCAAGCCCCCAAAGAGTGTGGCGTTCGTTCAGGGGACTTTTGACGCTAAAAAGCACACAAGAAAAAAAAAAGAAGCTTTTACGTTGGCATATGTAGTAACAATCTTCACTTTGCTAAATCACTATATTGTTTCGCCATGTTTTTAATTTATATTTATGTTTCATTTTTTCGATATATGGATATATGATGTCCTGTCAGTGACCGCAGGAGGACTTCCTTAACCCTTGTGACGTCTTAATTAAGAAGCTAAAATATTGTTTCTTAGGCGGCCTTACTCCAATATATGTTGAACTGGATTATCAAAAACAAATTAATAAACGCCCTCAATGCTGGACTAAATGTGTTATCTCGAAATAACACGGATGACAGTTTTCTCAATGTCCAACTTATCTAGATCTATCCCATAGATTTTTTATTTTTTTTTTTTTCAAAACTCTACCAGTCTTTGTCGTCCACCTTGAATAGCGCGGAATGTGCATCTCGAAGAAATGGGACCAACGCGGTAGTGAGTTGCCTGGCAACCAAATATGTAAAGGCTGCAGCACGGCGTGCCACCGACGGATCTCTGTGATTATATTTGCGTGTGTCATAATAATCCAGGCAATTAATCGTTCATACGAACACACAATAAACAAACTATTATGATGATTCTGATTAAAGTGAGGCTGATTACGATGGAATTCGCTGATTCCAAAGAATTTTTGCCGATGAGAAACGGGGTTGGTAAGAGCGTCCACTCACTTATTGAACTCGACGCGCATTCCTTGCTTGGTTATTTCCCAGGCGTTGTTGAAACCTCCGACTTGATCGAAGCCAACAGCGACGATGACGATGAAGGCGAGGAACATGATCACGCACTGGAATGTGTCTGTGAACACGACAGCCTTGATGCCACCCTGCGTATGAAACAAAGATCAAACTTCAACTTATATCATGTAATGCTCTTCGATATCTCCATATGCTTTTGTCATGAAGGAGCTCTGGCAAATGTCCTCGGAATTCCTCGTATAGCTTGTACCGTGCAATTAGGAGCTCTTGAAAAGAAGAGTACGGTCACCGACGTCTTACCAAACGCAGGACGTAAAAAATAGTCATTCGCGCTTCTTTTTTTTTTTTTTTTTGTGTTTTTTTTTTTTTTTTTTTGTGATTGATTTTTAGGCGTTCTCGTCGACTAGTGCGGCGCTGTCATTGGCTAGAGTGCAATAATAAGATGCTCGAGATTCGCCACACTCTACGCATCACTTAAGTCTTCAGTGACTATGCGGAGCGCAAGTTCGTCTTTAAATCGTCTGCTAAAACTTGGCGGTATATGCCTGCGCCGTGTCTGCTTCTTGCGCAGGGGTGTGGCTGACGTCAGAACGACGCCAAGCTCTGATTGGCTCTGATCGAAAGGATAGTGGGTAGATCTCAATGCCCTGCCTTGCCACCATTCTTCCAATCAGAGCCAATAAAAAGTCGGTGTTCTGACGTCATCGCCACCCCTGCAAACGAAGCAGACGAACTTGCGGTCCGCATTCGATCGTAGCGTCAGCTGTGGTCAGACTTAATATGAAACAGAGTATATGAAATGTGTATTGCATTTTTTTTATAATTGGAGCTTTACGAACGTCTGTAATGAATGTAACAGACTTAAACGTCATGTCCGAGCTTGTCGCGTTTTGTTTCTTCGTTTCCTACTGCATTCGCTAAACTCGTTTTTTTTTTTTTTTCTAAGAGTTTAAGATTGATTAACACCATGACAGAATAACAATTATGTGTTACTACTCAAAACGCGATGTTACACGGACATCGTGGTGTTAAAATGTTTTAACAATAATATGTTTTTTTTTTTTTTTTTTTTTTTTTTTTTTATATGTAGAGGTTCTGAGAAAAGAAGCACTCACGATGCTCGTGTAAATTGTGCAGATGATTCCGATAACCGCCACAGCAGCCCAGAGTGGCATCCCAATCACTGAAACCCAAAGAAACACACATATTAGCGGGACCGCGACATAATGACGTATAATATCATGAACAGACCGATATCATGAACAAACAGAGTTTGTTCATGATATCGGTCTGTCTCTTGACATCGGTAACCAAGTTGATGCGATATTTATAGATTTGTCAAAGGCTTTCGACACCGTTCCTCATTCTAAACTCCTACACAAGCTTAACCTAATTCTAAATAATCATCACCTTGTGAACTGGATATCCAGTTTTCTTTCCCAACGGTCTCAGTTTGTCTACTTTAACTCATCCAAGTCTAGTACAGTTGACGTATCATCAGGTGTTCCACAAGGGTCAGTTCTTGGACCGCTACTTTTCTTGTTATATATCAATGATTTGCCACGCTGTATTTCCACTAAGGTCCGACTTTACGCTGACGACTGCGTACTATATCATGTGATAAACTCCTCAGATGACCATATAACTCTTAACAATTCTTTCGTGAATTTTTGTACGTGGTGTAAAACCTGGCAAATGAACCTGAATTTTAGTAAAACGGTTTTTATGACCTTTTCTAGGCGTTCATCAGCTTCTGTGTTTAATTATTCATTTGACGGGTTATGCCTAGAAAGAGTTTTTGAATATAAATATCTTGGCCTCCTTTTCACGCCTGCTTTATCTTGGTCTAAGCACATTGATACGACATGTAACAAATCTCTTAAAAGACTTGGATACCTGCGGCGTACCTTACGTGTGGCACCACAAGATACTAAGCTTTTAACTTACAAAACTTTGATTCGCCCAATCCTCGAATATGGTTCTATTATTTGGTTTCCCTACAAAGAGTCCGATATAAAAAAGGTCGAATCAGTACAAAAGAAATCGGTACGTTTTATTTGTCGTCGGTATGACAGAAACTTTTCTCCTTCTTCTAATCTTTCCGTGTTAGGTCTAAGACTTCTTTCTGAGCGTCGTGGTATCGAGCGCCTAAAGTCTCTGTATTTCATGCTTAACTCATCACGTTTTGACTCATTACATAACTACATAAAGTTTCTCGAGCCAACTGCAACTAGGAGCCACCATGAATTAAACATTTTACCTTTTCATCCTCGTACTGATATGTTTAAATACAGTTTTTTTCCTCACACCATTGAACGCTGGAATTTATTACCAGGAAACATCCGATCACTACAACCAGATGAATTTCTGTGTGCCGTTGACAGTGGTCCACAGTGATGTCCGGACCATCTGTGTTTACCTCCCACTCCTGCCATAGCCCCAGTGGGGCTGCAGTATGTATAAATAAATAAATAAAATAAATAATAATACTAATATTATGCATTGCCGGAAAAACATATTAATAGGAGAATATGGTCACCTTTGGACAGGGCAAGTGCTGGAGCGTATAGCGAGACTGCCAGGTAGAGGGCCTGATGAAAAACAATGACGCTCGGATTCAATGACAAATATCGCGGAGATGATAAATCGTTGTATTTCCCGAGTTAACCGGTAAGCTGCGATCAACATTCTGTTTATACTTTATGAAGCATTTCGTGTCGTGGTGATATCTCATTGTTTTATTCGTGCTCAGTTGAAATTTATTTATTGAGCTTTCGGAGCTATGTTTGTTGGAAAACGTTAGCTGTTCGACTACTCTATTAAATGTTAGAAGACGACTCAAAGAAAACCGTAACATTCCCATTCAGCGTCCCTCAGCGTTTGAATACGCCCATTCCTTTTTTTAAGTTATTCGAACACTCATGATCATAATCATAGCTATGATTATATTACTCTAGCGCCTGATCGTAAACTTCTAGTTCAAGCAGTTTGTAAAAAGACGTAAAAAGCCATCGTACAAAAGGTATATACTGCACAATGGTTTTTCCCTAAACAACCGCAGAGTTATGAGCAAAAGACTTTACCGTAATATATACACAATACTTTGGAACGGAAAAACCAAATGCATATTTTCGTTTATATTTACAAAAAAGATATAACACGGATAGTAGTTGCATGCTTCTATAGCCAATATTTAAAAAAAAATAACTGAAGTAATATGTCTTACCATTTGAATAGTGTAAAGTATCACAGCTATGATCCTCAAGGTGCGATTGAACCTTAATTCCAGGTACTGAAAGCAAGGATAAAACATTAACTTTTTTACTCAGTGCCAAACTTGTACAGTAAGCATCACACGTAATTGATTTACTTGTTGCCAATTTGTTATTTTTCTAATTCAATTATTTGAATTATTTGTTTACTTTTAAAGTTGTCATATTACTAGAAATAGTTTATCTTTTTGCATCTCCTCTGGCCCATCTCGTTTCCACCTCGAGCTTCAAGATATGACGCCTCCATTTTTGTGACTGCAGAAAAGCGCGCGTCACTTACTGGTAAAGTTATTAGTTCATTATTAAAAAACGAAATGAAGGTTAAAATTAGTAACTTGAAAAGCTACGAGCAGTGCGGACTACAAATCCAAAAAATACAAAGGAGGCCGCGACTTTTTATAATTTGCAAACTACATAAAAGGAAGCAAGTTTAGATCAACCTCCTTCCCAGTTGATAAATTACAAGGCAAGATGAATATCAAGGAATGAAATCTACGTGACTGTGAAAACAATTAAATGACGTGTAGCATTTAAAAAAAAAAAAAAAAAAAACTTTTTTTCGCGCGGAACACGTAACGCGTGTTAATTCAGTCCAGCACGGTCAGTTTATTTTCTTCGCAGAAGTCTTCTGTGCAAAACCGACCACGGAATCTGCAAGAATGCTGCTCTGTCGCGCCCTCAAGGCAGATGGGGAGGTGTGTTGTCTCGTTTGTACGTTATATACGTCGTTGCTTTATTCAGGTGATTTATGTAGACGTACGCGAAAACTTTCACAAAAAAAGAAGGGTGCACGAAAATTCCACGATCGAAGTTGCACATATATGTACTCTACCGGAGCACTTTACACGAGAACGCTCCACAACGCACGATTGCTCGTGCAGCAAGAACTCTCACTAAAGCCATCCACTCGCGCATAAAGCCGAGGTCACACCGTTAATACGTCATACAAAACACAGCCTGCTGACACTTTCTGAAGGAAATCTCATCTTTTTGTCTTGTCACATTGGTAATAAAAACCACCTGCTCGAAGCATACACGTGTAAGAAGCAAGTGCTGGATATCTGTCCTCAGACACTTCTGTTATTATGTCTGCAGCGACAGTGTCTTTTCTATGGTAGATGAGCAATGAAATTGTGCGGCTCAAGAGGGAGTAGGAATGGCTCTTTACTCCGCGATTTTTTTACTAAAGCTATTACGACACTTCTAAGCCATTTCTCTATATTATACCCACCAAACAAAACCGCAATAGCCATGCAACAAACAAAAAATGGAAAAGTTACATTTCCAGGCTATGCCACATTGCTTTTTGTTTAAAGTCTCATGATTGTCTAATCTAATTAAGAATTTTGAGCGAGAGTAATTGCAACTGCACCCGCGGTTACTTTTTTCGACAACGTGTACAAGACAGTTCAAGGCAAACCTCAACCACGAAATCAATTCTTCCGAGGCACAGATCAAGATAGCGTCACGGAAGATCGGTTTAGATCGGTTTTAATATGGTGTCCACCGAAAGCTGTCTAGGCAACCCTAGATATCGACCTTCAGCGTAACCTTACACATTTAAGTACAGGCGAAACGTTAGAGCACTAACCTCGTAGGCCGTGACGATGGGAAGATTGTAGAAAATGGGCATGTACAGATGCGCCGTGACGGGGATGGTGATGAAGTAGGAGATGACGGTCATGAAGTACATGGTCCCGTTGGCGTAAATCTCCGTGGCGTTGCCCAGCAGGAAGGCGGCGGAGATGAAGCTTGCCATGAGGGACGTGCCCACCGGCCACACGGGCAGTTCCTTGTTGCCCGTCAGCATCTCGGGCAGGGTTTCGCCGGGACTGCCCTTGATGGCGTTGTAGAGTCCGATGGCACCGGACAGCGCCAGTGCGATGACGAACACGGCATAGTCGTAACCAGTGAAGCGCACCAAGAGTTCCTCCGATGTTGGCAGTTCCACGGCGTCCATGCCGAGCTTTTCTTCCGTTCACCTTCCTGAAAGTGAACGAAACAATGGTGGTTGGATGTTGTTAAGTGCGTCAATACACTGTGTAACCGCGCATGTAGCTTCGAAGGTAGCCGTCAAAGCGCACCGTGTATTTCTCTACTTGGAATGCTACGCAAGTCATCATATACGCAGGTAACGAATTAGGGAAATCCACGACAGCGTAGTAAACATGTTTGTCCCCAGGCCCTTTGTGGATGTTAACTCTAATTATAGTGATGTACCGAACCATATCCTGTCCCTTTTACGTTAAAATACCCTTATTAACGTAAGCCCCTTAACTAATTTATTTTTTAGCTAACTTGTTTGAGTTTAGCAAGACTTATCGTTGGGCTAGTTGGTTCATGGTGCTGAGTAAGCTAGTATGGGCAAACACAGAGGACAAACACGAAGTAGTGGACAAGAACAAATGTGTCGGCTTATACGGAGTTACTTGTGTGTGTGTGTGTGTGTATGTGTGCGTGCGTGCGTGCGTGCGTGCGTGTGTGTATGTGTGTGTATGTGTATGTGTGTGTATGTGTGTGTGTGTGCGCGTGCGCGTGCGCGTGCGCGTTCCTGTGCGTGTGTGTGATTGCGTGCGTGCAAAGTAGTTTCAGTGAACTTTCGAGGGTTCCTTTTTCTCAATCACCGCTTCAAGCGGCGCTTTGGGTAACAGCTCATGCAAGGGCCGAACGAGTTAGCTGCTGAAATGTGTTGATGGCGGGACGAGAATATATGCCCTCTTTATATGCGGATTCCTGAACGATAGACACTTCCGTTCATTGTGATTGTCTCCAGAGGCCGTATTTTTTTGCTGACGCGCTTCGATTCCCTTTCGGTTCATTTTCGATCCTTTTGCGGAGTCAAAGTTACGTGTTCCTAATTTTCAAAAGGGAGTTCGTGCTAGTGCGGTTTCGATACGTACGCGAAAAGACAAAAGGAAGTTTTCGTAGCTCGTTTTCGCTGTCCCGCAACGCTCTCTGCCAACCGGCTGCGATACCCGAAAGTCTACAGTCAAGGCCATCGGCACGCAGGCGCAGAAGCGGCTTCTTCGTTGCGAAGGGCTTAAGGCTAGCCCACATGGTGCGCTTTTCTCCGCGTCTGCGCCTGCGCTTTGACGTCACTTCCGGCGCCGGGACGAAACGCAGCGTTTTTTGGCGCATTCCGGCGTATCTGGAGGAGCCAGATATTTTGCGTCCACGCGTCGCGTCTCGCGCTGCGTCCAGAAGGCAACAACCAATGAACCGCCGTGTTCACTAGTTGCAAGGAGACTTTGAATTTTCTCCACTGTTTTCGCCACTGTAGGACTATAGTTTTCGCCACGGACCTCGCGACAAAGGCGATAATAATAATAATACTTTTTATTTGCACATATTGCGATACCCACTCGGCAGCGTGCGAGGCTAGGCAAAAAGGTTGAGACCCTTACGCAGGTGGGCCTGCTAGCCCGCCGCCAAGAAGGGAAAGGGATACGGGAAAGGGAAATAAATAAAAACACTCAAAACAGAAAGATACACACACAAAAACGGGTAGCAGCCCTGTGCCATTCCAAGGCAGAGCGCACGCGCGCACGCACACACAAACACCCGCGCGCGCGGAGTTTACAAAATTTGCACGCTCGCGGCCTTAGATACAAACGGCTTTTAGGCCCCGCCAACGCTAGCAGCAGGGCGAACATGGGTAGTCACGTCCTTCCCCCCGCGGATATCAGTTTATCATACCTTTTACACAAGTCCAGGGAATCCTCTCTGCTCCGCGGGAGAGGCTGACGCTGCTTCAGCGGAACAGAGAGGACCTAGCGAAGTACAAAAGCGTCCTGCACTCTGGCAGGCCAAATGTAAAGAATACAAGGACACCGAGAGACAAAGGTACAAAATTAATACTACCGGCAATAACCGCAACAACGTAACCTCTGTAGCGGCCAGCGGCCAGCTGTAAATGTTTTGGCGCCGGCGATGGTGATGCCTATGGCGTATCGAAACGTGGATGAGGCGTACGCACAAAAAAGGATGAAAATTAGGGAAATTGAGCTTTATTGCGATTGCTGTAATAAAAATGAGTGCTTACTATTACTAAAATTAAATATTACGGCATGTAGCTATCATTTACCGCGCGATTTCTATTTAATATTTGCTTTTGTTTCTTAAGCGCGTCTGATTACGTTGGGCAGACGCTTCGGAAACGCAGACGCGAAGCGCTGCGCGGTTGCGCTGCGTGTGGTTTGACTGGGCGCACGCGTCCTGCTTAGCGCGCGCGCCAAGCCGAGACGCGCGTCCAGACGCACTGAAAAACGCGCCATGTGGGCTAGCCTTTAGCGAATGGAGAAACGCGTTCTACGAAAACTCTTTAATGAACAACCCACGGAGGGCAGGCAGAGCGTTCAATAGATACGCGTTTTCCAGTTGGTTTTCGCGATGCAACCACTGTTGCTAAGCTTAACCAGTCCTCGTTGCTTGTTCATTCTTGATAATCAGTGATACACTTGGAGAGCCAATCACCGCAACTTACGGAGACAGTTCAGCGAATGACAATGCGGAAACATATGTTTAGACCAAAAAACGCAGTTTGAGTTGTGACATTAAGCAACTCAAGCGTGACGTTTTGCATTGCTTAATGTCACAACTCAGACTGCGTTTTTTGGTCTAAGCATATCTTAGGCATTGTCATTCGCTGAGCTGCCTCCGTAAGTTGTGGTGATTGGCTCTCCGAGTGTCGTGCGTGAAATTAGACGCACAAATTTTTTTTACAGTGCAGAATGAGAACACGATTCTCTATAGAAATGCAATGGTATCTTCGCACGAAGACGTTATCTCTGTCGTGTAAACGGCTGGAATCATGCTGTTGATCGCGCTGATCGGCAATCCGCGTGCTCCGCGGAAAAACGAACCCTCAGGTTTTCTTCATAAACAGTGCGGCTATTACTCGAGCAAATACGGTATATAAAAATTGCACCTACATTCTACCAGAACACTCAGATAGCCAATCACTGCGATGTTTGAAGGAATTAGGCGAATGAAGAAGCCGAATATACGTTACAAAGACATAAAACTTGCGTCTGCAATGAAACGCAGACCAATACGTTAGATCCTCCTCAGCATCCCACCCCAAACCTAACGTTTAGGGATATAGTTTTGGCTTTGAAATTCGCCGAGTTCCATCCGTAGATTGCAATGATCGACTGCCCTTGCAGTCTTCGGCAAAGTAGACGGGCAGGCGCGTTTAAAAAGCGACCACTTTAAACAAACGAAAAAAAAAATATCCTTCGATTACGTTGAGTCGCTTCCAACAACCAACGTACAAAAAAATTTAAATAATAATACGTTTTTTTTTATATAACCTCGATGACAGCTATGGGATAGCAATAGCTACCTCAGAAACGACGTCACATAAAAAAAAAACGTACAGACCTCGCACCACTCTTGATGGCAGCTGTTGATGCCTCCCCCGTCGCCGATCAGAATCAGAGCTTTCGGGCTGAGCGCTGGGTAGAGATAACGACAAGGTATCGGCGCGAATATGCAGATGATGAGGGAGATTTGTAACACCATCCAACGTCACGCGGCGTATTTCCGCTCACATAACATCTCCTTCCCTGAACCTGCGAAAACATAGCCTTCTGTCCACGTTTTTGCGCGCACGGCTGAACCGCGACCACGTGATGTTTTCACGCGTGCTTTGTCCAAATCTGGCACTGTAGTGCGAAGGGCGGTTTCAAAATGCGGGGCTCTGCCCGCGAACGTCGATGCACGTGTCACACGTCACAGTGCAGTGCGTGTACGTCAAAGTTGGCCTAAATGCGCACTCACTTGTCTGCCCTGTATTTTTGTTTTCCTCACACGTGTGAAGTCATGTAACAGCCCACTGGTGTGCCGCAGTGGACACTTGGCGACCGACTTCGATGGTAACATAGTAAATGCTAGAAAGCGTCAATGTGGTGCTTGTGCTAACTACGTCGAACAATCTGCAACTAAAATGAATAATAAAAAAAGAACGTGCAACCGCTTTTTTTTTTTTCTTTTTCTGTGGGCATTATGGTTATCAGGGTGTTTTCGTAGACCGCGTGTCTACCTCTGCTAAGCACTCCGCAACGAAGCAGCCGCTACTGCGCCTGTGCGCCGATGGCCTCGACCGTACACTCTAAGAAGCCCGTGCGTCTGCTTTCCCGCACAACACTTGGAGAGCCAATCACCGCCACTTATGGAGGCAGCTCAGCGAATGACGATGGTGAAACATATGTTTATACCAAAAAACGCAGTCTGAATTGTGACATAAAGCAATGCAACCGTCACGCTTGCATTGCTTAATGTCACAACTGCAGCTGCGTCTTTTGGTCTAAACCTATGTTTCGGCATCGTCATTCGCTGAGCTGCCTCCGTAAGTTGCGCTGATTGTCTCTCCGAGTGTTGTGCGGGAAAGCCGACACATGGGTTTTTTTTTTTTTTTTAGAGTTGCGGGTATCGTAGCGCGTTGCGGAGAGCGCTGCGGGACGGCGAAAACGATTCACGAAAACTCCCTATTTACAGCTGAAGAAAACGCAGGGCGTAGTGTATCCCGAAAACTCGCAGCTGTTTTTCTTTTTATTTTATTTGTTTATTATTATTTATTTATTCTTTTGCCGGGAAAACGAGCTGTGCGATGCTAAATGCAACGGGAAGACTCGATAGACAAAGAAAAACATTAAGAACAGCGTGTTTTTTTTTTTTCGTTTCTTATTTAAAATTATTGCAGGAAATGTAGCATTCTATCGCTCACTTGGATGTGTCCGGCGCAACGCGACCAAAATTAGTCGCACCGCCCACCACAAGGCTATACACTCTTTTTCACGCACTTTATGACACTTTTCTGGATCGCGCATCCCCGCTTGGTCGCTGTAGCGCAAGTGCCGCCACCGAAAATTCCGATTTGGCCATCTTGGGCCTGTTTTAAATCTGCCGGGTGAAGTGTTGAAGAGGCTAGCAGTGTTGTACACATTCCTCAAAAAAAGG